AGGAAAAAGTCCTGTGTACAAAGATATTCTTTGTAAAATTACCTATAATATTAAATTAATGGAAACAAATGTACCTCAGTAGGGAATGGTGAAATTAATTATGTTACGTACACAATTTCTATTCATTCCTTAAGAATTTTAATATCTATGCCTAATGTATTGATAGGGAAATATGGTAAAGTGATATACTCGACGCAGAGAAGCACGCACAATGAGGGTTTCATTTTCCAGGCAGCGTCTTCTTGAACTTTTGCATTTCTTAGGGACTTGAAGCTAGAGTGATGGAGTGAAACGCTGCTGGGGACACCATCTCCCTTAAGACGTGGGCAGCGGAATTTTAAGTGACACACTGAGGTCGAGAGAGGGAAGCGTGCTGGGCTCTAATGGGTTTCTTCTTCCCCAGACAGCTCCGCGATCTCTAGGGCAGGAAGCGTGAAGGAGGAGAAGGTGTCTTTCCAGGGTGTCAACATCTCGTGCTCCGTGTTTGAAGCTGCTTTAAGAAAGCAATTACTCCCGTACCCAGCCCCACTTGAGAGCAGCTGTTAATCTGCTGTGGGGCCCACCTGATGGAAATCGTACAAGGAGGTCGGGAAAATGATACTGAATCTTTATCTCTGGCTTGAGATGACAGAGGGACGTGTGAGTCAGGATATCCCGTGGAAGGACAAATTGCTCCATATGGACACTGAGGAACGTGACGCAAAAGGTGATGTTTGCTTTAAAAGACCTCTACTTACCGTATCAGCCACGTTTCCTTTTAGTCTTTTCCACATGTTCCCAGAATTTGAGTTCTAAGTAGCTTCATAAAGGGGTCAGAATGAGATATCAGACATTCCATAAGTTTTCCGTGAAGAAATGAGCTCACACAGCATTCATACTGCACACACCACGTGCATACTATGCACATGCTACACACACTCATAACACACACACATGCACAACACAGGCACCAAGCTCAAGAGGAAGGGCTCAAACCCTTGCAGTCCCCTGAAAATCTGGATCTGTGTGAAGTCAGACGGTGGAATTGCCTAAATATCGGAGCCATTGAACCACCCTACAGGGGAAGTCGTCGTGAGGTACCACATCAGCCTCCCTTTCTAGACATTTCCGCAGCAGCGCAGAATCCTCCTGCAGGGTTTTCTTGTTGACAGTGTGGACAGGTAGACCATGTGTCCATTGAGGGCCTCTAGGCCTCGGCGGGAAAAGCCTGGAGAGCTGGGGACCGCAGAGACAGACGTCCTTTCCCACCCCCCACCCCACCCCCAGGTTCTCTCGGGAAATCTCCGGGGACCACACGTGGCTTAAGACACAGGGAGCAGACCCCAAAGGATCCCCTGGCTCAGATGTTCCCCCAGGTATTTTTGCTTCTTGGAAGCTCGACCACCATTCTGAGCAAAAGAAAAACAACAAAAGGACGCCCCAGAGCCCGCCTGTCTTTTCAACCGCTCTCATTTTCATTCGGTGACAATAACACAAGGAACAAACTTCGAGGGGGCCTCTTCTGAAATATTCCAAGAGAAACCCAAGCCTTTCTGGGTGCCCTTCATCTGTGCTTCCATATTCTAACACACCTAATACTGCTCTATCTTATCTATGCATCAGTGAAGGGATCCATCATCCTTCTAATCAAATTGGCTGTCAAGTACTGGCTACATGACTCTCCCAAGGCATTGGACGACGTGGACGTCACTTTGTCCCAAATAACCAATGTCAGAAAATGGGTCCTTAATAAATATATTTTCAAGATCAGTGGGAAAATCAATCCATTACATTAAGGCCTGTACCTCATGAGCGATGTACAGGGCAATCTATCTTGCCAGAAAAAGAGCAACTCTCATGTGTTGTTGTATGTAAACCATCGGTTCACATGGTTTCTATAAAATCAAGAAAAGGAAAACCAGATAAAAAAGGGTCACAGATGTCTTGACACCTCCCATCTCCATTAAACCAAGAATTGTGGTCAATTATCAACCAAGAGAGGGTGCATGATTTATGTCTATTCCTTTAAGCCCATTTCATTGAAGAATAACTTACATCAATAAAACCCATCCATTTCAATACACAGTTTGTGGCTTTTGAAAACTACACAATAGTATCAGCAGCCCTCCAACAGGACATATAACAATCCCATCATCACCTTCCCTCCCACCCGTTGCAGTCAACCCCCTGAGTCCACACGCTCAGGCAACCCCCGACCTGCTTTCTGTGACTTAGAGTAGTTCTGTCTGTCCTACAAAGTCATATCAGCCCAACCACACAGCATTCTTTCTCTTGCATTTGGCTTCTTAACACAACACGATGCCTTTGAGATTCATCCACGATGTTGCTTATGCTCCTGTACTGTCCTGTTTTATTTCTATTATTCAGTTTATGTATATATACAGCCAAGTGTGCTCTGTTAGCAACATGCTGATAGCTATTTAGATTATTTCTAGTGGTTCCACCACGAACAAAGCTGCTATGACCATGATCGTCACCCGGCAGAGTGGCTCAAATAATGAGACTGATGATAACAAGATGGCAAAGATGCATTGCAGATGAGAGGGTAAAGTGGTACAAAAACTTGGAACATGGTTTGGCAGTTTCCTGTCAAGTTAAACACAGTTACATTCGATTGTCATCATCCACGTTGTCTACGTCCTGTAAAGTCCCTGCAGACCCTGAGTCAGTGAGCACGGAGCCGCTGCTCCGGGGGGAGACAAGGGTTGGTTCCCGGGACCCTCTGGTCACACACATTTGCCAGCTGATCAAAGC